TGCGTAAAGTAATATCCTTTCCATTCCCTACCGTGTTTGAAAAATTAAGAAATTATGAGAGAAAAGTGGTATTTCATGGCCTATTGCAATCTTATAGTATCCTAGCTTACCTAACAGTCTCCCCTCCTACATGGTACCTAGACAGATGGGAACGAGACCTTGGTACCACCTTCTCTGATCAGCAAAAGGACATAATTCTACAAATGACCCACAAGGCATTTGTCTCCTGCAAAACCCAAGGTACAGGGTACAAAATTTTAGCTATATATTATAGGGTCTCTGCAGTCCTCCATAAAGTATTCCCCCAGAGTTCTCCACTGTGCTGGAGATGCCAGGAGGAAGATGGATTGAAGCTCCACATCTTCTGGTCTTGTCCTGTCATATAAGATTTTTGGACACCGGTTAAACAGTGGATTTTAAATTTCACTGGGGCTCAGATGACTGATGACGTGGCTGTTTTTCTCTTACACTTCACTTCCATGCCAATGAAATGCTACAAGCATTCTTTGTTACTGCGCCTTAGCAGTGCTGTCAGTGTCCTTATTTTGGAAACAAACAGTTGCCCCCAAATTAGGTTGTCCTTTGCTAAGATTAATGGAAGAAACTATCACCTCAGTAAATCAGAGGAATGTGGTTCTACTAGACTGACTTTACATGCTCCACTGCCAACTGGGACATCATGGGCTCTCAAGCATGATGTGACCAGTCAATATCTACAGAAATCGCAAAGAACTCCGATAAGGCATCTGGACAACTGCCTGTCTCTTGCTGCACACACATTCTCCTCTATCTTCTGTCCATCCACCAACCCACACCCTTTTAATTTTTTTTTTTTTTTTTTTTTCCCACCCATTTTTTAAGTGGTAAAAACCGGCAAATTGATGGGCTGGATTTTTATTGCCACCGTTCAATTGGAATGGTCAGATAAGATCACTCTTCATGTTTGAATGCTCTGTGGAGTGCCTTGTCCCTGTTTGTGCTGTTAACTGCAATTATATATTCAGGTTGCCATTTTTTTTTACCTGTATATGATTTCATGGAGGTCCGCATTGTAGACCTCTTGTAGTCTTAAATGTAAGAATTGTTTTTTATTTGTATACGTAGAAAATGATAAAGAATAAAAAAAAAAAAAAAAAAAAAAAAAATCTCATCAAATGAAAGACTATGTTTGGGCAGTAAAAAAAAAAAAAAAGAGTCAATACAATTTTCTCTCCTTCCGCAGCTGATAGATGGACTAGAGCAGTGTTTCTCAACTTCTTTTTTAGTCATAGCACCCTTTTAAAAGTATCTCGAGGTACCCCAGTATAATGCCTAGTACACACTATAAGATTATTAGATGAATGATCATCCATTTTTTTGGGAGTTTTTTGCATGTTGGTCTCCAAATGGAAAATGAAGAGGTTACTCAACTTACAAAAATTCTCATATGACATAACAGAATTTAGGAAATAATGCCATGTATTGTATTTGTATTGTATTTTTGGATGACTACTGTACTGATTAAACAAACCTCATATGATCCTAAGGCCCATACACATGATAAGAAAATCATACAAAAATGTTCGTATATGTGGAGCAATCGCTTGATAATCTGATCGTTAGTACACAGCTTTCGAGAGCCGGTCACGACAGTTCATGCAACAATAACCGAAGGGACAAGCGCAAAAAGTTTTCTCGTACCAGATTGTAGAATTTTCGTTTATTCAGTACAACAGTCTTCCGAAAATACAATACATGACATCACTTCCAAAATTCTATTCTGTCGCACAAGAAATTTAATTATTTGATTAACCTCTTCAGGAGTCTAACCTGCAAAAAAAACTTTTGAGATCATTCGTCCGATATTCTCATTGTGTGTACTAGGCATTAAGGGCTTGTTCACATGTGAGGTTGGGGGATGGTAAATCATGCTGTTGAGCTTAGTTTTTACTGCCCCTAACTGCTCCCCCTTTAGCCGCAAAGGCAGCGGCCAGGAAGGTCTTACACACTGCAGCCACATTGGTTGGGGAAATATGGGGGGGGGGGGACTTTCTGTGATTTATTTTTTTTTATTTTTTTTCTGATGCCTATAGGCACTGCAGAATTTTCTGTTATACTTGAACACAGCCCCATTAACACCAGTAAGAGAAGGGCAAATACTCTCATGAGATATGATTTCGACAAAAGTCAGTGGAGCAGGTCAAGGGCTTATTATTGGTCATCTGTGATTGTGATTAACCTGATGAGCATAGGTTATAGTTATTGCCAGTACTGATCCCAGATAAGATGATCTACTTTGCAATTTAAGGCTTGAGAATTATTTTATATGACAAGAATGAACAAGCAAAATCTTTGAGTATTTTACCAAAAGAGGTAATATTAACTGTTCGCTTTCTTTCTTTTTTTTTTTATTGTTTGCCGAAAGCCTTTCCCTAAAGCTCCCTCTGGGCAAACAGCTAAATACATATTGGTAGTAGCTGTTCTACCTGCCAAAAGATTTGTCATTCTGTTTGCCCATTCCTGGGTTCTGACACACAGCAAGCTAGGATGTTGACCTTACTTTCTCTTCTCCGGTATCCTTCCCTACGATTTGCCAATGATGGAGGAGCGGTAGACTGATGAAATCATTGCTGTGCTCTCTTCTCCTGTCAGCATATTCCTTATTAGCATGTTTATGTAAAACACCTGATTGACCCCTAGTACTTCCCCCCCTCCCTCTCTCGACCTTCATTCTCCTGTTCATGGAATTACAAGAGATTGATACCATGTCAAAATACGGTACTTATACAAGTTATATTTCTATTCATAGCTGCATTTAATTGGTGTTATTTTAATATATCACTTTGAGTTACACCAAAACAAAACTTTTTTTTTTTTAGCAGTTTGTTATTTTCATTATAGTAACATGGTTATCTGGCTACTCAGATAGCTAAAAGCCTTAAGCTGGATTCACACTGTTGTGTGTGCATTGCAGCATGCATGGTAACACACACACAACACACACACACACACACACACACATATGTAGGGGTGAATGCGCTCGTAGAGTTCCCCTTTCCAAAACACACTAATTGCAGCACACAGCTTTGAACCAGTCATATACACTCATGGTAAAAATAGTAAGTACACTTGGAAATAGTTCACCTTGTCAACATTGAAAAAAGGCAAACAGATCTTCATTCAAACAGTGCCTAGAGATACAGTGGGCAAAATAATTATTTGATCCCCTGCAGATTTTGTAGTTTGCCCACTTACATAGAAATGAAGAGTCTATAATTTTTATCATAGGTGTATTTAAAATGATAGAGACAGAATATCAACCACAAATTGAAAAAAAACACGATACAAATGTTATAAATTGAGTTGCAGTTCAATGAGTAAAATAAGTATTGATCCCCAAGCAAAACTTGACTTAGTACTTGGTGGAGAAACACTTGTTGGCAAGCACAGAGGTAAGACATTTCTTGTAGTTGGTTATCAGGTTTGCACACATCTCAGGAGGGATTTTGGTCCACTCTTTTTTTTTTTTTTTTTTTTTTTTTTTTTTCTTTTTACAGATCTTCTCTAGATCCTTAAGGTTTCTTAGCTGTTCCTTGGCAACTCAAAATTTCAGCTCCCTCCATACATTTTCTATAGGATTAAGGTCTGGAAACTCGCTAGGCCACTGCATGACCTTAATGTGCTTCTTCTTTCAAAAATGGGTTTGTTTTGTGGGCGTTTCACCTGTCCTGGCACTTCAGTGATTAAAGAAATCTGATAGTCAAGAAATTAGATGCATAAATTATGCTCTTTGAAAGTCCAAAGTTGCTCCTTGGCCCTTCTATGCATCTAGGCTGTGAAAAAGTATCACATATGTAGTATCCCAATACTTGGAAAGCAAAGTAGCATGTGTTTTGGGGTGTAATTTTAAGTACGCTTAAACTGGATGAGACATAAGTTGTTAAAATTACAGCTTTATTTAATTTCTTAATTTTTTCTCAAAATTGTGACAACATCAAAAGCCTCACCATGCCTTTTTACTAAATACCATTAGACTGTCTGCTTTCCAAAAAAGGGTCATTTGTGGATATTTTGTACTATCCTGGCATTTTAGAAGTGAGATGGGCCTTCAGTACATCTGGACAAAATAATTTTCAAATATAAAAATAGCATGGTTTGTAGACAAAATAATATACACTGATTTGGATTGTTTTGTTAACAATGAAATGTAGCAAAAGACATTTTGGCCTATGAAGAAAGATTATTTATTTGCAAAATTTTTTAACTAAGAAAAACGTGGGTTTTTTTTCACAATTTATGTATTTTTTTTTTTTTTTTATATTGCAAAAAAATTTTAAAACCCTGTGGTGATTAAATGCCACCAAAAGAAAGATCTATCTTTCTCAAAATGTGATATAAAATTGATTTGGTACAATGTTGCATGGATGAGTAATTGTCATTCAAATTGTGAAAAATGGCCTGGACTGAAAGGGGGGAAAAAACAGGCTGACTTGGAAGTGGTTAAACATGACGTCTCCCAAGCCCTTCTGTTCTGTTCTCCAACTCCTTTGTCACCTCCTCCAGGATCTCTCTTCTTCTCTCTTCCTATGGAACTCCTTTCCCCAATTTGTCTGGATACCTCCTACTCTTGTACAGAAGAGAATTATTCCACCGTGTGTGTGTGTGTGTGTGTGTGTGTGTGTGTGTGTGTGTGTGTGTGTGTGTGTGTGTGTGTGTAACTAATTTATATATATATCTCAAATTATATGATGTGTGAGTGCCTGCAAAAAGACATCAATACTAAAATCTTTTTTTGTAGACCGTGCCAAAATACTGCATGCATTAGTACATGAAACTATTTTAAATGTAATTGGTTTATTGATTTACGTTGCTATTTCATATTTTCACCTTTCACTAAACATTTCCTAACCTATGGATAAACAAGTTAGCACTGTCATCTCAGATAAGTGTAGCTTGATTCCTGGGTTATATGTACAATTATTCCTTGCAAAGCATAATACCTCGATTTCTGTTTTTATTAGTTATTGAAAAACTACCACAGGTGGAGGAAGGAATGTCCAGAGATTACTGCAGACCTGAAGCCATCTCTTCTTCTTGACCTGTACAATTCTGGCTACCATGGAGTCCTAAGGTCAAGGGATGCTTATGGCAGCAAAGTTCTTATTTACAGGATTGGTAAATAACCTGCTTCCTTTTCTCTTCTCCTTCCTCGGCCCTTGTGTTATCAATGCACTTTCTATATCATGTGTTCGGTCTAAGCTATTGTTGTAATTGGGCTACCAACATTTTTTAGCAGTTAATCAAAGCGATCAATCATTATTGGTATAAGTTTCTTATTATCTTAAAGGGGTTTCTACTTGAGCTGTAAATGTATCCTTTCTTTCATGTAGAATTCCACTCTCCTACCCCCTTTACAACTAGTGTAAACACAAATGAAAAAACAGCAAGCACTGCAATGACTTGTACAAAGCACACCAGCGAGCATGTCTTAAAAGTGTTACTAAACCCAGGACTCTACATTCACTATATCTGGTATCTGTTCAGTACACAGAACACGGAAATGCAATTATTTTAGTAAATGTAAACTGCTAAATACCTTTTTCTCATCAGCAGTTATAGCAGTCTTGTGACTTCTATCAGTGTCCAGCAGAGCACTGGTTAAAGCTTGTAGGATGAGTTTTCATTCTCCCCTGATTGTCCTATGAGGCTGCATAACCCCTGACCCTCTGTCTGGACAGTGCTGACTGGCCCTGTGCTGATCACATGCAATATTGTTTAGCAATATACACCAAACTGAGCATGTGCAGCTTGCCCCCAAGGCTCTGTTCCATCAAAAGATGTATTGGGGACAGTAGAAGGGGAGGATCAGAGGAGACCGGATCAAACATCCTTTTTACACAATGCGGAGGATTAACCTCTTTGGTTCCACAGTGAGTATATCAAGCATGCTTTACTGCAAATACGGACTGGTTTTGCTGTTGTGGGTTTAGTAACACTTTAAGTGCACCCACTTGTATAAATGGGCCTTTACTTACGTACATTTAAGTGCATATAAACCCAAATACCTAAAGTATTAATTGGGGGGGGGGGGGGTAACACATTCTATTCTCCTGATCATATGAACTGGATATTTTCTATCACATCTGAGAGAAATATAAAGGCTGGAATGCATGTAGTTGAGTCATTGATCGTGAACAAGTACTCAACAATGCAGTAGACACAAAGGATGAAATCTGCAGCAAGTCATTGTGGGTGCTAGTTTTTGTTTTCTCTCTTGAAGTAGCATAACTATACAATGGAATGATATTCTTACCCTTTTTCTAGATAAGTGGGACACAAAGCAGTTTTCTGCGTATGAAGTGTTTCGAGTAAGCTTGATAACGTCAGAGCTTATAGTGAGAGATGTAGAGACACAACGGAATGGCATTAAGGTTATATTTGACCTGGAAGGATTTGGACTGGCCCATGCATTTCAAGTCACCCCAACTTTGGCCAGAAGAATAGCTTCAGTTATGACAGTAAGTTAATATGTTTACATCTGCAATGTGTAGTGTTATTTCCTAAAACTGTGTGCTGGGAGGGTTAAAGGGTAGTGATTGTGACAAAAGGTCTGCTACCATTGGCAGCAGCTTGTATGCTGCCAATGTAAAAGCAGCCCATATACTGCCAGTGTGCCGAGGCAGCCCGTTTATGGTGTCAGTGTGTGGAAGCAGCCTGTGTATGTTGTCAGTGTGTGGAAGCAGCCTGTGTATGTTGTCAGTGTGTGGAGCAGCCCGTGTATGGTGTCAGTGTGTGGAGGTAGCCCGTGTATGTGGTCAGTGTGTGGAAGCAGCCCATGTGTGGTGTCAGCATGTGGAGGTAGCCCGTGTATGTTGCCAGCGCGTGGAGGTAGCCCGTGTATGTTGCCAGCGCGTGGAGGTAGCCCGTGTATGTTGCCAGCATGTGGAGGTAGCCCGTGTATGTTGCCAGCGTGTGGAGGTAGCCCGTGTATGTTGCCAGCGTGTGGAGGTAGCCCATGTGGAGGTAGCCCGTGTATGGTGCCAGTGTGTGGAGACAGCCCATGTATGTGGAGGTCAGTGTGTATGTATGGTGCGTGTTGGCAGAGGTAGCCGTGGTGTGTGTATGGTGCAGTGTGTGGAGGTAGCCCGTGTATGTGCCAGTGTGTGGAGACAGCCCATGTATGTTGCCAGCGTGTGGAGGTAGCCCATGTATGTGCCAGCGTGTGGCAGAGGTAGCCCGTGTGTGATACTAGTGTGTGGAGGCAGCCCGTGTATGTTGCCAGCGTGTGTGGAGGTAGCCCGTGTGTATATGTTGCCAGCGTGTGGAGGTAGCCCGTGTATGTTGCCAGCGTGTGGAGGTAGCCCGTGTATGTTGCCAGCGTGTGGAGGTAGCCCGTGTATGTTGCCAGCGTGTGGAGGTAGCCCGTGTATGTTGCCCAGTGTGGAGGTAGCCCGTGTATGGTGCCCGTGGAGGTAGCCCGTGTATGGTGCCAGCGTGTGGAGGTAGCCCGTGTATGGTGCCAGCGTGTGGAGGTAGCCCGTGTATGGTGCCAGTGTGTGGAGGTAGCCCGTGTGGTGAGTGTGGAGCCCGTGTATGGTGCCAGTGTGTGGAGGTAGCCCGTGTATGGTGCCAGTGTGTGGAGGTAGCCCGTGTATGGTGCCAGTGTGTGGAGGTAGCCCGTGTATGGTGCCAGTGTGTGGAGGTAGCCCGTGTATGGTGCCAGTGTGTGGAGGTAGCCAGTGTGTGGAGGCAGCCCATGTGTAGTGGTGCCAGTGGTGTGCAGAGGTAGCCCGTGTGTGTGTTGTCAGTGGTGCCAGTGGAGAGGTAGCCCGTGTATGTATGGGTGCCATGGTGCCAGTGTGTGGAGGTAGCCCGTGTATGGTGCCAGTGTGTGGAGGTAGCCCGTGTATGGTGCCAGTGTGTGGAGGTAGCCCGTGTATGGTGCCAGTGTGTGGAGGTAGCCCATGGTGCCAGTGTGTGGAGGCAGCCCATGTATGTTGTCAGTGTGGAGGCAGCCATGTATGGTGCCAGTTGGCAGAGGTAGCCGTGTGTGATACTAGTGTGCGGAAGCAGCCCGTGTATGTTGTCAGTGTGTGGAGGTAATGGTGCCAGTTGGCAGAGGTAGCCCGTGTATGGTGCCAGTTGGCAGAGTAGCCCGTGTATGGTGCCAGTGTGTGCAATGTGCATGCCACATTGCTTTGAGGCTTAGCTGAGTTAAGGTTTATGCCTGGGTGGGGAGTTCTTGCCTTTTTTTTTTTGGCCAGTGTCCATTCACCTGGAGGTGGCAGAACCCTGTGTCCTGCAATGGATTCCAAGAGAAAGTTAATTTTAAAGGTAAACCAAGAATCCTTCCATGAGAAGCAGAATGTTTTAGGTCCCATTTACATTTGTGCAGTGTGTTAACACAACGTATGTCACATGTTAGCCTGTGTATCATTAAGGTGGACTTTTGAAATCCACAGGCTTTACATACCAAATTGTCTTGAAAATATGACATTTCACAAAATTTTGGCCACGCTGCAGTGCTCTGTGGTGCATGGCCATGCATGTGTGTTGCTTAAGTGCATTTGAGTTCTATTCAAATAAATGGCACTGCAGTGTGTGAATACATGTTAACATGTATTTCTGCAACGCATAGATGTAATCAGCCCTCCAAATTTGAGCACTAGGGATAAGGTTCCTTTAAATGAACAGTATAATGTACTTTTAATGTACACATATTTTAAATTATAATGGCAATATTTACCTTATTAAAAGAAAATTTATTTGACCTTCATGTTTTCAAAAGCTCAATCTTAACCTCCCTAGCAGTCTATTATGTCCATATTTCTGTGCTCAAAGCGGTACATTTTTTTGCATGGAAATATGTATTTTTTTTATTGTAGGCTTGTAATTTTTAGGAATAACTCACTGAAATCTGTCCGAACAAGAGTCTAGTAAACATCCCGGGTATGTTAAAATTTTAAACACAAAATCATAAATTATAATTTAATAAATAATCATAAAAAATAATATAATACATTTATTTCAATAATATAATCAAACCAAAAATACTGAAATTTGAAATGGAGCGCCAAGTTCGCACATCACTGCGCAAAGTCGCAGAATCGTTTTCAGTGTCTGATGACGAATTTCCCCACAAATCATTATCACTCAATTCTGCAAGTAGTTCTGATTTACTATCGCTGTTCTCTAGCTGGTCTAAACCGCTTTTGACGTAAAGGGATGCTTTTTGGACGCCATTGACGCTTCTCAGATTCCAGGCAGAAAGAACAGTAAAAATGCAGGCAGGGCACAGGACAAAGCACTAGGGACAAAATGTATGTGAAATGGCTTGATACAGTAATGTTTTACTATGTGATTTTAGTGTATTGAGTGAATGTCACAATATGTCATTTTCAAATTTCCTGCCATTCCGTCCCCCGTACGTCTCGATGCTCGCAGGGGACGGAACCCAGAAGACAGATGCCGGCATCCGCCAGAGTACATTACAGGGGACACTGCAGGAGGGACATCGCGGGAGTGCAGGACAAGGTAAGAGAAGAACAGATCCCGGAGCAGCGCCGCATGGTAAGCCCAAGTGTAGCTCGGGGTTACCGCTTGTGGTACTGAAACTTTACCCCGAACTACACTCGGGAATACCGCCAGGGGGGTTAAAGGATAGGTTCACCTTTTCATAACATGTTACATGCATATTCAGAGTGTAACATGCTATGAAAGCACCCTCCCCACTCCCCCCAACAACCCCCCCCCCCCCCCCCACCCTTTGACAGTTAGCGGGGGATCTTCTCTCCCCTCGCTAGCTGTCAAATTTGAAAAGAAAAAACTCAGCTGCAACGCTCCTCTGTGGATGAGAAACAAGTCCCAACAGCCTTATAGGCTGTCGGCTTGTAGTTCTCAATGAACTACCACGGCACTGGAGCGCCATTGTAGTTCATTGAATCTCACTGTCAGCATATCTGCTTGCTCATACAACAGATCTACAGGAAACTTGCATAGTATTGCTCCCGCAATGCTTTATAGGCTCCTGCAGCAAAAAAAAAATAATAAATACATATTTATAAAAAAAAATTGCATTTATTTATTTATTTTTTTTTATCTAAAGGTGAACTTATCCTTTCATTTTTATTTTCATTTACTGAATGCAGTGATTTCTAGATTAGCCACTAGAGGGAGTTGTATGTGTGAGTCAAGCTCCCTACTTGGCTTTGATTTCATTGAGTTGCATTGTGAGAGATCAGTAAAGCACAAGCATTGTTGTAGCACAGCGGAGCATGAATCAAAACTGAAGTTTAAAAATGTAAAAATATGCCTGGCTACATTTTATTTATATGTTTATAACTGCACATAAAAACAAGGTGTGTTTTTTTTTTTTTTTTTTTTTTTTTTTTTTTTTTTGTCGGTGTATTTTCAGGCAAAACCTTTTTCTATTTTTCTAGTTAGGTTGGAGTGCGGAAGGATTAGAACCCTCCTTAGGTTTTTACTGCTATGTGGGGCTCCTTAATCAAGAGTTCACTGTCCTGTCCGGTGACGAGGTTTTCTCCAGGCAGGAATTGAGGAAACGTCTGCAGCAGAGATGTTTATTTCCATCAGTGTTGCTGTTGAAGATTTTTCCCTCAAACCCTGTCTGGTGAAATTGTTGTCAGCGGGATAGTAAATGAGGGGAAATATCCAATCAGATGCAGCCAATGTATTTTGACAGCTGCTGGTTCCATCTGTGAGAATGCAATAGCTGTGTCAGGAGATTAACCCAGTTTATTAAGGCCTCTCATCATAGTAATGGACCATGAGTGAGGTGTGGGAAGGGAACACCTGGGTTTGGGACTCCAAGTAGATCCTCTGCCGGTAGTGATGTCATTGCGGCTTGGCCATTCAAACGGTCAGAGCCTGTGAACCCGGAAGGAAGACCAGATGCAGATGGAATCCCTGCCAGTGGTGACAGGGTGCTACTGGAGGGATACGTTTTTAGGTAAGTCCTTTCAGAATGTGCTAGAATCTGCTAGCACATTGTGACATGAGCCTGCAGAGAGACTTTTTTTTTTTTTTTTTTTTTTTTTTAAACACGGTTTACTACCATTTTTAAACAGATGTCCAAACCACAAAGAAAAAAATAATAGTGTAACCAGTATAGGGACCAGAGCCCACAGTAGGAAACAAAGGTTGGCAAGTTATTATTATTATTATACAAGATTTATATAGCACCAACTGTTTGCGCAGCACTTTATAAAATGAAGGTAGACATTACAGTTACAATACAATTTGGTACAAGAGGAAACAGAGGGCCCTGCTCTTTAGAGCTTTCAATCTAGGAGATGTAAAAGTTATTTTACACACTAACTTTACTGAAGGCTTCCTATTTAAGCCTGGTTCACACCAGTGCAACTTGTTATTCATTTTGACAGTTCCATATCACATGACAAGTCGCACCTTATTTGTGCCTATGGAATCCTTGAAATTGGTGCAACTCAGCTTTTCCGGTGTGGTGCCAATTTTGAAAAAAGGTTCTTACAGGCTTTGAAATCCAATGAAGAAATGCGATTTCAAAGCCACATTCAGTGTGAACCAGGGCTAAGGCTGGCCATACACTATACAATTTTCTTGAGAATTTTATTGGTAAATTTAGATTTACCAAAAACCAAATAATATGAGATCAAACCTAAACACTTTCAATTGTATGCAATTAGGCAGGCCCTTGCACTACATAGTTGAAGGTAAATTTAAAGGAAATTGGACAGAAAATTGTATAGTGTATGGCCAGCCTAAGGGTAATTTTATCACCTAAGAGCCCTTTCACATGGATGTTCAGTCTGGGCCTGTCTGTCAGTTTTTCATACAGGCCCAGACTGACCCACAGTGTATGTCTATGAACAGGTGTCTGAATCCATGCCCACAAAAAAAAAAAGTTTGCGTCCTTTCCCATTTTTGCAGACAAAAACAGATGTCACTTAACGTCTGTCATATTTAGATTTGCGTTTAGGGCTGGTTCACACCTTTAATCACACAGAAATGCAGTGTGATTTTTAGCCCATTTATTTGAATGGGCAGAAATCACACCGAATTGTACAAAAAAGTAGTGCATGCACTACTTTTGAAAAATGTGCCGCACCAAATTGCATGGTACTGTGGTACGATGCGATCTTGTGCCCGCAAATACACTATGTATTGGCACCCAGAGCGGATCTCAATGGCAGTGCGTTTTGAACATGGTGCGGGAAAAGCGCACAGAATACTTCTTTCATGCACCACGTTCTCTGTAAGTGCCCCTAAACCAGTTACCTGTTAAGCAGAAATAAATACTTACTGTATATCTCCTGTTTCCTGCACTAATGAACACCATGTCTTTGAAGAGAAATCACCTGCTGAAGTTTTGTTCAGAAAACAACTTTTTGGAGTTTGGATCTTCTGGTTCCCTACTTCCTTTTCTGGAACTTCCCGCCAACCCGCACATCACTACTGTGTTCTGTAGGGGCTGGTGAAGTATCCTGAGCTGCATGCCACCCTCCATGTTGAGCATGTTTCTAATATTTTATAAAACATGGCCGCTGTGTAGCCTACCTGGTGCCTTAAGGTCTTGCTTCCAAATTTTACCTTATACCTTACCTAAGTGCATGACAAGTTGCTTTTGGGCGCATCTTATTTATAAAGTTACTGATAGGTAAAAGATAATTTGTAGATAATTGGCCTACTTTAGAAAAGATTGGGCATTTTATTTTTCTTCCCTTTGATCACTGCTCTTCTTTCCATGTGGACATCTGCTGTCTGGTTAATCTTGTTCATTCCAACCCCATAGATCTATGGATGTTTGGTTGTCCTTTCTTCTTCCTTCCCCATAGATAAATGCAACTTATCTAAAGCAGGCCATGACTGATCCGATTTTCTTTCCTTCCACCACGAGTCAGCTCGATTCCCCCATCAACCCTGACATCCCTCTAGCACTATTGTGTTCTGCTGGCAGGGGCCTTCCCTACTGGCAGAACACAATGATTACTGCTAGCGAGTATAGCCGCCACCAGTAATTGCATGTAAAAAATATGACAGGCTGGTTGTACCCAAGTCAATCAATGGCTTGACTTGGGTGCAACCAACCTATCCATAGATGGATCAAATGTCAATCCATCTATTGCTGGCTTTAGGCAGACCGTACATCTATGCAATTTTCTTTTTTTTTTCTTCAACCATGGGTTGCGGGAATGAAGCAATTTAGTTTCCCTCTCATAGCAGAGCTTTCCCCACCTGCAGAAAACAATGATCACTGCTGGTGGCTATAGCCGCCAGCAGTAATTGTGTGAAAAAACCCCAGGCAGATCGACTTCAGTACAGCCAGCCTGCCCATGCATGGATCGAAATCTGGCCAGCTACTGCAGAACCAGCTGAAATTCAGTCTATGACCGACTTTAGACTAAATGTTAGTTTATAGTTTAAAACAAAAAAACATCTTTTGGTGGTCTAGGACCAGCACAAGGGTTTATGAAACTTCTTATTAAAATTAGAAGATTGGTTTGGTCTCTTTTTAAAGCAGATTTTTTTTGTTTTCAGGACTCTTTCCCTCTTAAAGTTCGTGGAGTACACTTAATAAATGAGCCTTTATTCTTCCACCCAGTATATACTCTAATCAGGCCGTTCCTACCTGACAAGATTAAAGAACGGGTGAGTGAGCTAAAAATATATATGTACAGTACTGTGAAAAAGATTTAGGCACGTGTGGAAAAATGCTGTAAACTAAGAATGCTTTCAGAAATAAAAATGTTAATAGTTTTTATCAATTTACAAAATGGAAAGTAAATGAACAGAACAGTAAGCCACCCTTTTGCCTTCAAAACGGCATCCATTCTTCTAGGCACATTTGCACACAATTTTTGAAGGAACCCAGAAGGTAGGTTGTTCCAAACATCTTGGAGAACTAACCACAGATCCTCTGTGGATGTAGGCTGCCTCAGATCTTTCTATCTCTCCATGTAATCCCAGACAGACTCGATGTTGAGATCAGGGCTCTGTGGGGGCCAAACAATCACTTCCAGGACTGCTTGTTCTTCTTTATGCTGAAGATAGATAGTTTTTTTTTTTTTTTAATGACTCTGCCTGTATGTTTGTGGTTGCTGTCCTGTTGTAGAATGAAACTATGGCCAATCACATGCCTCCCTGAGGGTATGGCATGATGGATAAATATCTGTCTGTTTTTCTCAGCATTGAGGACACTATTGATCCTGACCAAATCTCCAACTCCATCTGCAGAAATGCAGCCTTAAACGTACAAGGAACCTCCACCATGCTTCACTACTGCCTGCAAGCATTCATTTTTTATATGGCTCTCCAGCCCTTAGCAGACAAACTGCCTCCTGCTACAGCCAAATATTTCACATTTTGATTCCTCAGTCCAGAGTACCTGCTGCCATTTGTCTACAGCCCAGCTCCTATGTTTTTGTGCATAGAACGTGGAAACAAGGTTATGCGACTCAACTATGCAATTTGCATAAATCACAATGCAGTAGTGCTGCAGTGAGAAGAGAAGAAGGCTGAAAAGTTGGAAAATCTCCAAAAGAGATTCACTCACGATCACCTTTTTGAGTTTCACTTAAAAGGTTAGATGTGTCTCCACCTTGGTACATGATTTTTTTTTTTTTTTTTTTTTTTTACAGCAGTGCATAATCTTAGTACAATGCACTTACATGGTTCCAAATTTTATGTTAGGTTTCTATAAATACAAAAGCAGTTTTACAAGATAGCAGGCCCAATCATGACTGCTGTCTACATGGTCTGAGCTTAGTGACTTGTGCTTTTTTGCTTTGCAGTACTGTGATCCTGGGTTCAGTTCCTGGAAGGGACACTATCTACATTGTCAGATTGTTTTCATAGGTGTCATAGTGTTCTACTTTCTCCCAAAAGCATGCTAGTGGATTCATTGGCTTCTGCCCAAAATATATTTGACTCTACATTTGCTAGGGATAATAGGCTACTGTATACACACCTCTGTAACAGGACTGATATCAAATATTCTGTATCAGCGGCGGACTGACCATTTGGAAACTTGGGCACTGCCCGAGGGCCCGTGGTCAGTAGGGGGCCCCATGAGATGCCCCTGGTACCTTTTTTTTTTTCATAGGTTTTTTGAGTTAGGGCAAGGACACAGGGGCCCCATGATCCCCTTTTGCCCGGGGGCCCAACGAATTGTCAGTCCACCCCTGTTCTGTATATAGTGTTAAAGTGATTCTAAAGCTTCTTTTTTTTGTTATTATAACAAACATGTGTTCTGTGCAGTAGTTTTGCAGCCCCACTCTTCCTATTTTAAGGTCCCCCATGGGTGCTCCTCCCCCTCAAGCGGTGCCTCCCAGAGAAAACCGCTTTCCTTGGGTGCACTGCTGCATCCTCGCTCCCGAGACACTGCTATATACGTCCATAAGACATATAGAGCTGTGGTTCAGCCCCACCCCCGCTCTCTCCTTATTGCCCACTGGCTGTGATGGACATAGTGGGAGCCAATGGGCTCCTACCTTTGTCTCAGCCAATGAGAGAGTCTCCAAACAACTGAGGCTATTGGAACATTGCTGGATTGGAATTGTAATATAGACCACATGATTGTGATTGCTCACCAGTACCCAAGGAGCCAGCACTTTGTTATAAAGCCTGACCAGTTTTGTTTTTATTTTAGATTCATATGCATGGGAGCTACTACATACCAACTCTACACCAGCACTTTTCTGAGACTATCCTGCCCCCAGAATATGGTGGAACAGGACCCCCAATGATGGAACTCTGCAAAGAATGGACTGATTACATCATGGATTCTGAGGATTACCTGCTCAGTATATCGGACAACATATAGCCTTCTCTACGTAGTACACTTTGTGTATAACAGTCCCTGTGGGGAATTGAGCTAGTTATATATTTACTGTCATTTGTAATTTTTAACCAGCTTTAAAAAAACAAACTGTGGTTATGGAATGGTAAGAGAATATGGTAATCAAGCAGCTAATTGAAACAGAGCATGTCATCTGTTACATGGATGTACTGTATATTCCAGGATTAAGTGGACGCACATTTAGGTAACACCCAATGATCACAAATATATCCACTTCAGGAATGTGATTATATTATCAGAAAAGCCCATGGGGTAGCAAAGGTGCCCATAGCTGGGTGGAGTCTTCAAAGAGACAAGAATGTAGAAATAATATTTCTACTGCTGTCGGCTTCTTTTTTAAAGATGAGTAATTGAACACCAATAACATGTTTCTTGACAAATGGTCGCTTCGTCAGATAAGAGGTGAATAAAGCAGGGTAGGTAAAAATGGTCATTACAGATTAAAAAAATTAAACCACTGAAAGCTAAAAAACATGATTATGGATAGAATTCATAACAGCACATTAAAAAAAAATGTTGGTAGAGCTAAAAGATTTGTTTGAGGTCAACACTTTTTAAAAATAATATAGTATGCTTACATTTTAAATAGGAAAGAAGATAAATATATTCTAATAATAAAAATACAAAATAAATATTATTTAAAACCGATCCAATAGTATAACAGTTTATATTGCTGTTCTTTCAAGAGAATATCAGTCAAAACACTTTTTTAAAAAATAGTCCAAACGTTTGAAATGTATTGGGAAAAACAGTAGTGCCTGCTAATCTGTATTTATTATGGTGAACTATGTGGATTGAAAGATAGGAAATGATGGTAAGAAAGAAAGGATCTTAAGCCTTTACAGTACTTACTACACAGTAGTGATATGCAGCTGGATTGGAAAGCATTAAAGGTCAATAAAGTACGTGAGCACACAGTCTGTGCATGTGATGGCTAATTGCTACAGTGTGTGTATGTTGGGGGTGAGTGGGGTATGAGTGAGCTAGCTTTCCATGAGCAGAAAGATCTAGCGCAGAGGCACTGTATTAAAAGAGAAGTTCAGAAATCAATACAAAAAAGTATACACAATTAGGTGGATGTAGCATCGTTCTGATGCTGCATCTGTCCCCCGCCGCTTTTAAGACCAAGAACTTGGTGATCAAAGACCTCTGATCGCTCGGTTCTTGGTCTTCACTGAGCAGAGAGCTAGTGACTGTCAGTCACCGGCTCCCTACTCTGCCCCTCCAGTGTTTACTGGAGCTCCGGGCTGTCAAGGGGAAGTGAACAGCTGGCTCAGGCTCTCAGCGGCTCTCAGGCTAAGAGGCTGATCCAACTGCCAGTCCAGACATCTGGGTTGATCCCGACATTAAAGTCGGAATCTCTCCAGAGCCTGGACCAGCTGTGATGTCAGCAGCCAGCAGGCTTTAGACCGCTGCCAGCTGAAAATGAATATACCTCAAATAATGAGGTAGCTTACAAGCAAAAAGGAATATATTGGAGAATAAAGTAAACTAAAGATCTAAATCACAAAATATTGCTACTCATGATAGGATATGTAATTTAAATTTCTCTACATTTGTCTGCTAATTAGATAATTTCATTTATTCCATGAGATTTGTTATGTGTTAATGGTATAGATCTGTAAAGACTCGCTAGCTTTTGATCTTCTGAATCTGTCACATTTCATTGAAGTTGGTATTTGTTCTATAGGTGTGCCCCAGAGATTGTCAGTACATTTATAATGTAGGAGGGTGTAGTATTTGGAAATCCATTTGTGATGTTCCTACTGTGTTGTGAAATTCTTGATCACAGGTTTTGTGCGGTTTTGACTGAAAATCACAGGGACATTGTAACAGATATACTGCATAATCAGATTCAAACATTAAGATGGTGTTTTTTAATTTAAAAAAAAATGATGGTTTTGATACTGTTGCTTGGAATGTTGGTAAACAAACTACCGAATAGGGGTTTTTGTTGCAGGTCCAATGGTTTGCATTTATTTTCCATCATTATTGTTTTTGTCCACTAGACGCAAGGTACATTTTGATTGTTTTTACTGTTCTAAAAGTACTCAATTGTTTACTTCTTAGGATTTGTGTTGGATCAGGATCGCTACATAAAATATGCCCGTGGGTCTTGAGTGTACTTTTAAATTTTTCTAGGTTGTTCTATTTGGTTAAAAAGTATATATAGTTTTTGTTTCTGACTAGTACGGTGTTTACCTTTTTTTTGGAGCTGGCCATATGGTATACTTGTTTTCCATCTTTTTTAGTGACTGCTTCTGAAATCAATATAGCTGTTTGCATCTACTTCTAGATATAATAGTTAAATCTTTGGTGATGTAAAGTTGGAGGTCAACAAAAGCAATACTCTGTGGGTCTCAGTGGCTAGTGAAAAGGAGTAGCTCTTCATTTATGTTAAGATATTGAGTGAAATCTGGGATGGTTTTTGGGTCACCTTTCTATATTATGAGTAGGTCAATGTATCTATGATAAATAAATAAATTGGTGTCTGAGCATAGTAGTTGATTTCAAGGTAGCCCTTGAAATATAAAAGTATAAAATTAAGTATAAGTATAAAATAAGAATGCATTGTTAAAAAAAAAAATTCAGTACAATTAAAATTTTGTTGCTATCTTGGCATATGAGGATCTGAGGAAGGATAATTTTAAAGTGCCTTTAGATCAAAGCTGTGTTCTATATTAGATTTATTTCCATGGTACTGTGGTAGGTGAACAAAGCTGGTGGGAAAGTTCACACAAATAGCATGGTCATTTTGTGACTTGGCATTGGAGATGAAAGTTGGTCAACTTTGAAAGATTGTAAGTGAGTGAATAGATTCCACAAATCAGTGGTTGGG